TTTAACTTTTTGGGTTTAAATCTTTCAATCAACTTCAGTCCTGATCAAAAATACCAAATGTTGAATTATGTTCAGGATTTTAACCCTTGAACTGCCAGTTTGAAAACATGAATTTGCATTTTCTATGAAAAACATGCAAAAAAAGGCAGTTATTTTCAATGAATGTTGGGGGGGTTCAGCTTTTCTTTTTTTTTTTATCACAGTCTTGGATATGTCAAAGATTAGCAACAACATTTATTTTGGTCTATTATTAGTTTTTGCACAGAATCAGATTAAACAAAAAACTCACATATTAGCCACTCGTGTCCCATCCACTCCCATTATAACCACATCTTTTGATCTCTCCGCCATACCGGTATAAAATCATGCATTTTGTAATATTTTCCACCATAATTTTCAAATAAATTCTTTAAAAATCAGACAATGTGATTTTCTGGATTTTTTTTTCTCATTTTGTCTCTCATAGTCGAGGTATACCTAGGATGAAAATTACAGGCCTCTCTCATCTTTTTAAGTGGGAGAACTTGTACAAATACTTTTTTGCCCCACTGTATATGCTATTGCAGCTGCATGTTCATCGCATGGCGTAAAATGTTAACCCACAAAATATTACTGAAAACCTATTAGCATTAGCAACTTCTTACTTTGTGGAGAAAATGCTCTTTGCCAATAGCTCCAACTTTGCCACAGTAGTTGACAAAGCCAACATTTCCTTCAGTCGCTCCGTAGCATTCACAGATACAAATGTCCCCAAATCGCTGCAGGAAATCCTCCCAGGTGTCGCTCCTTAACCCGTTCCCCAGGGCCAGTCGGACCTTATGATCTTTATCATTGTCTCGCTAGAGGAGAGCAAGAGGCGAGACAAGAATAAGAGACCTCACATTGTGTTGTTTTGTTTGGTTTTGATACATGAAAATATCGAATAAAACTATCAAGGCTGCTAATGAATGTATGTGCTATATTGTTGTAATGTGTTAAAACAACATGACCATATGTGACATTACACAGGGGTTTACCTTAGGTGTGTTGCAGAGGTAGCGCATAATTTCTCCAATGTACTGAATAACTGTCACGTTGTACTTCCTACAGTCGTTCCAGAAGTTGGAGGCAGAGAACTTACGTTTTAAAACAACCGTGATGCCTGCAAATGAAGGCACAGATTCAAGCAACACAAAATAAAGTCACAGTTAGAGCTAAGAAAGTGTTTTTGACCTTGAGGACCTTGAAATACGAATATAGTTGGACACTACTAGTCCATATCACTTGTTTAGCCTTGACTAAACAATCAGCATGCACCCTGTGAATCATTGGTAGGTTTATGATCTCGTGAATTACCTTGTTCCATGGCTCCACAAAGCCCAATCAGAAATCCAGAAGTGTGGTAAAGAGGCAGGCACAGGAAGAGGACATCGTCTGAGCGGACAGCAGCTATGGACTGAAGAAAGGTTGATATCCATAGCCTCTCGTGGTTGATAACAGCTGCCTTGGGAAGTCCTGAGAGAAAACGCCATTAGAAGCAGACTCAGCCATTTTTTATTGTCCTATCTCTGCAGCTCAAGGTCTGCAGACTAGAAACACAATCACAGATTAGAAGGGAAGGTCAGATGAGCCTGTCAGATTACCTGTGGTTCCTGAGGTGTAGATGTAGAGTGCGGGACTCTTAATGTTAACGTTGGCCCTCAGCTGAGGTGACAGAGGCTGGTCTGAGGCCTGCTGAACTTTATCAGAGAGGCTTTCAATGCCCTCCACCTCACAGTGCTCACTGAGGATAAACACACGGACACCCTGCTCGGTCAAGGTGGGTAACACCTCCTCTACAGCCTGTTTCAAGTCTGAGAGAGACAAAACCGAACAAGGAAGTTCAGACTTCATGGAGGTCAGTGCTGATATAATAAACATGGTGAATCAATCATTACAGATCATGGGAATTAAGCCGAGAAAGTCAAAGCCCAGTTCAATAAATGAATTGACAAACAAGATATTGCAGTATAGAAATGCAAACTAGTTTTGAGGCATATTAGAGTGGTTTGTTTACCAGAAAGAAGGGAGGAATAGATTTTGTTTTAACCCTCCGGTATCATTCGATTGGACTATGCAAATTAGTCATTCGAGACAAAAATGTCCATTGCAAAATACTTTGATAAAAACATTATATTAAAAGGTTTTTTCTACAACTTTTT